TAACTTATTAACATTACCTGGTGACTAGCAGTGTCAAGGGCTTGGAGGTTTGCCACATCAGTAGGGAGAGACAAACAAAAAGCCACATCATAATGAACAGCCCCTCCCACTCTGAGGTCCTACTGCCAGAGTCAACTACCCCAGACCTCTCTAAACACACAAACCTGAAGCTTCTGTTACCAGGGCCTTCTCGGCAATGTGTTCCAGGACTTTCCAGAGGGCCTCTTATTACAGAGTCTACTCATGGCCTTGCTCTCAGAGATTATAATGCAGAGCCAGCTATTTAATGAAGATATTTCGTGGAGTCAACCATTTAATGAAGCTATGGGGGGCAGGCAAAAAACATCATCTTCTTTAGAAAAACTCAAGCACCTCTGGGCTTGGGTTTATTTGTGACCGTCTGGTTGAGGTTCAAGAGCTGGCCCAGAATTTTTAATGTGATCCTCTTTTTGTTTAATCTTTTAAAAAATATATTTTATTGATTTTTTACAAAGTGGGAGGGAGAGTAATAGAGTTAGAAACATTGATGAAAGAGAAACATCTATCAGCTGCCTCCTGCACACTCCCTACTGGGTATGTGCCCACAACCAAGGTACATGCCCTTGACCAGAATCAAACCTGGGACCCTTGAGTCTGCAGGCCGACGCTCTATCCACTGAGTCAAACCAGTTAGGGCTAATGTGATCCTTTTAAGAGGTTGTACTTGGAGCTGTTGAAGATGAATTCCAGTAGATAACCACTGTCCTCTCCTAAAATCCATTCTATTTGGGCTTTTATCTTCCAAGCCACTCAGCTTAATGGGATGTGTTCTTACAAGAAAGTTCAGCAATCTCCCGTTTCTACTTTGACAATGCAGAAGCCACAAATCTCAAGCATGTTTGGTCCACAGTAAGGCAACTCCCTATCTGCTTTGGGGGTCATACATTTCCCCACATTTTGGGGAACACTGCCACCTCCCTCTGTGTGCCCGCCTACCTTGGAGAACGGGAGTAAGCTATCTCCAGTGGGGAACATGGGGACCTGAACTATGAACACACCCACATTTGTCTCCACATATCAGGGGCCAAACTGAGCCCTTTCCGTGAATTATCTCATTTAGTCCTTGTAACACCTAATAAAGTAAGCTCTATGGTTTTACTGATCAGAAAATGACAGTAAGTAGTTCACTCAGGATTATCCAACCAGTAAACAGCAGGGCCCAGTGTGAGGCTGGCATATGCACAGAAATGTTTTGAAATACATTTTAATATAATAGTAAAAGAACAACACACGGGGAAATCTGTCTTGCAGTTTCTTTCTTTTTTTTTCTCTCAATAACAAATCGAAGGACACCATAAACTTTCCTAGGTTTTCAAGGTCTTGATCAGTTGGTTAAAGCGTTGTTATAGGCCAAGGTTGAGGGTTGACTCTCATTCAGTGCACATACAAGAATCAACCAAATAATGTATATAAGTGGAACAACAAATAGATGTTTCTCAAACAAGCAATTAAAATGTTTTCTTAAAGGCCTTCATCTAGCCCTAGCCCTGGCCATGGGCCTTGTCGGAACCTAGGCCAGGAGCCTGGGCCATGGACCTGGCCCACAGGCCCGTACAGCTTCCAGACCAGGGGGCCGGGAGCCCGCACTGGAGCTGCAGACCTGGAGTTGCCAACCCCAGCGAGCAGAGCGGGCGGCGCCGGGGCGGGGGGTGGGGCCAGCGGAGGAGCCATTTTTTTTCACTGAAAGGTTCCTACTTGTCAGAGAAATGGAACATGTGCGTAGGCAGATTTTCCAATGTCCTAAAGAGCCCGCTTCTCCTTCACAACCATTCACATTGTGAAGGCAAACCCCTATTGTGTAAAACTACTGTTTGGAATTCTCTGCTATTCTTTGGACAGCCTCTTATTCTGAAAAAGTAACTTTGCTTTCTAGCCTGCTTGAATAGTGGGGGAGATAAACTTAGCTGTCTGACCTTGTAGGCCAGAGACTAGATACACCCAATGCCATGCCAGGTGCATTTTTTAATTAATAGAACTGTGTAGTTTTCAAGGCCGCCGCCAGTAAGCACACAAAGGGCTGGCTCATCTATAAAAAGGGAAGTTCTGCTTATAGCTTTGCTTAGAATTTGGATTCATTTCCCTAAGCCCGCCGCGGTGAATAAAGTGTAACTCCAAACTCTCAGAGCGCTGTTTGGTTCTTGTCCGGTTTTTCTGTAACAACATCACGATTTAACATTTAACAGTCGGCTGTCAGATTCTATTTAGAGCACAGCCCCAGCTGGCCCAGGAAGACAAAACCTCCATGGGTAACAGTGTCAACAATAAAAATAACCTTAAAACAAACAAACAAACAAAAACAGAACCTCACACCAAACTTGGACTTAAAATGCCTGGTTTTCAGCACTGTCCGGTTTATTGAAGTTCGAAATTGAGCCCTAACCAGTTTGGCTCAGTGGATAGAGCATCAGCCTGCGGACCGAAAGGTCCCAGGTTCGATCCCGGTGAAGGGCATGTACCTTGGTTGCAGGCACATCCCCAGTAGGAGGTGTGCAGGAGGCAACTGATCAATGTTTCTCTCTCATCGATGTTTCTAACTCTCTATCCCTCTCCCTTCCTCTCTGTAAAAAACCAATAAAATATATTTAAAAGAAAAAAGTTCGAAATTGAGACCCGTACGTTAAAAGCAGAATGTCGGTGGCCATTTAGGGACGGCGTTAACCTCCTTTCAAGGCGAAATTTCTTTTCCTTAAACTGCAGGGGCTTCCCTTCCGTGGTCAGGGTTCGAGGAGAATATTCCCGAGGGGATGGAGGGCACGGCCTCGGAATTTGGGGTGTTTCGGGAAGGTTTTGATCTCTGCTTAGCCTAGGAAGGTTGGTTCTCAACCTTCCTAATGCCGCGACCCTTTAATACAGTTCCTCATGTTGTGGTGACCCCCAACCATAAAATTATTTTCGTTGCTACTGCATAACTGTAATTTTGCTACTGTTATGAATCGTAATGTAAATATCTGATATGCAGGATGTATTTTCAGGGGTCGAGACCCACAGGTTGAGAACCGCTGGCTTAGAGGGTGGCCTGTGGGCTGGCAGCCTGCCACCTGCTGTGGCTGCCTTTGCCTGCCTGTCATGTTAATTGTAGGGCAGCCTGGCGTCTCTATGGCTAACGCACACTTATAACAATGGGAGAGGCTAACCCTTATAACAATGGGAGAGGCCCCTGAGCCCAGGCTGCCCTCTCGGCTTTCTGAGCACTTGGTGGAAATCTGATGTATGAAATGGGCCAGATTCTCTGCCTGCCTGGGACAGAAAAAAATGTGTTCCTATTCATAATGCCCAGGAAGTGCCGGAGTGCTCGGCTCCTGTGCCTGGAGCTTCCCAGAGTCTTGGGCATCTTGTTCCTGCCAGTAACTGGTCCTCAGGGCCCTCTGAGTCACCTATCCTGGTGTCAGGAGGGGGGAGCACCCTAGCACTTCAGATGGAGCCTTCTCATTGGCTGTCGATGATGTCATCACCTCCCAGGTTGACCATCCCCAGCAAATACTCAGCGCTAATTGCTTGGTTTAATTTTATGTAGAAATTAAGTACTGAACTCCCCAGAGACAGAAGAGCCACCCTCAAGGGGGTAATGACCTTGAATATCTAATAATGTCTCCAGCGCCCGGCCAGCATGGCTCAGTAGTTGAGCCTTCAACCTAGGAACCAGGTGGTCATGGTTTGATTTCCAGTCGGGGCACATGTTCAGGTTGTGGGCTTGATCCCCAGTGTGGGGCATGCAGGAGGCAGCAGATCAATGATTCTCATCATTGATGTTTCTTTCTCTCCCTCTCCCTTCTTCTCTGAAATCAATAAAAAAATATATTTTTTAAATGTTATACTTGAATGAAGATTTGTTTCACAAAATAATGTTTTATTTGTTTGCTTGTGTCACAGAGATCTCACTCCTCCTATTTACTCCTCACCAGAGAGACAGCACCTGGCAAGTGGGTGGGGTGGGGGGGGTGGTTGGTGGTGGCAGCCGGTGCCCCACAGACACCTCTCACCACACAAAGGAGAAAGGGAAGAGAAGATGAGGCTGCACCGTCACTTGTCACTCAGCTGGATTATTAATTACTGCAGCCCGAACTGCTTTCCCTGCTTCCTTCCTTCCTTCGTCTGTTCTCAACCCAGATCCTGTCTCTCACTGGCTGAAAATCCTCTACCCACGCCCCCTCCCACTTGGAGTAAAACCCAGAGCCTTACCATGGCTGGAAGGTCCTCCATGAATGGACCCTCTCTGCATTAGCCCTTCCACTGTCCTCCCACTCCTCCTCCACTTAAGAAGGTGAATTGTGTTTATCTGCCATCTGGCTTTTTGCAGACCCTCCAACATCCCAGCAGGCTCCCACCTTCAGCCTTTGTACTGGCCCTTCTTCTGGAACATTCCCAGGATGCCACATGGCTATCACCCTCAACCACCTTCAAACCTTGCTTACACATTAACTCTTCAGGAAACCATATTTGAAATTCTACCCTGCTTTCTGCTGACCCTCCTGACCATTCTTACCCTACTCTCCCCCTCCCCTCCTTAGTATGTTATCATCTGTGATACCATATTATCATTTCCCTATTTATAACAGTATCTGTGTCTCCCCCATCCCTGGTCACAAGAGCCCCAGAGGGTGCTTGGTACAGAATCAGCTCTCAATTACTTCTTGAATAAGTTAATTTCTAGAAAGGACCTTGGCTTTGATTAGATCATCACAAAGTTTTGTGGTCCAAAAACCACTAAAAAACAAAACACTTCCAAGGAAGAAAGCTGTTGGAAAACACACACATCCATGTCCTTCAAGAGCCCCTCTGAGCAGGGACACAGCAACAGGACCAAATATATATTGGCCTTGGTTTTCCCCAATTCCCTCCTGACGTGGCCGTGTTGGGTGCCCCTCCCCTGGTGTTGGGAGCCCCTGAACACCAGTAGGGCAGCAGCTTCCAGACCCCGTGAGAAAGCTCCCCCAGCCACAGCACAAAGAGGAGACACACCATGAGATTTACCACGTGGGCACTGTATGTGGAGTACATGCTGGGAGCAACAACAACAGCAGTAAATACAGAACAGAAAATAACAATTTTTGAAATGACAACGAACAGGACACATTATCTAAGCACTAACACCTAAGGAGGTGGCTGCCCAGGCTCTGGTGGGCAGCTCCTCAGGAGAAAGAGGCTGACTTCTTTCCAGGCTGCCTGGTCTTCAGTCCTTGTAACTTCTCATCTTTCAGCGCCTTCAAGAACTTATCTGCAGGAGAGCAAGACACACTTAGCTTGAGTAGAGATAAGGGCTTTTACTAATGCTGCGAATGCAACTGCATGCTCCCTACAGGACCCCAAATCCACTCTGATCCAAAACATGTATAAGTGGAGAATATGTAGTTGAGAAATCCAGGACTTAGAAAAGTCCAAGTTTTCTAGGAATTGTTTCTAGAGACCCGCTGCCTCATGGACCTAAACATTTGGGTGATTTCACACCCCCTTCCCTGTGTGGGAGGTGGGGGCAATTTTATAAAATAATGGGGATGGTCTTTCGAGAACCATCTGCTCACCTTCAGTGGTCAAGTGCTAGCCACAGTCAGAACAGGTGATGGGAATAACAAAGTCTGCAGAACAAACAGCCTATGGCTACTGAACATTCTACAGAGCAAATAGGTCCTCAGGGAGTAGAATTGGCCTGTGTGTGATTTTACTCTCCCACAGCAGCTTGCATGCTCCAGGAATCCCACCCACACCAGCACACCTGGTCTCCCTGGTTAAGTAAGATCCCAGAGACTTCAAACCTAAGGTCAGATGGCAGAGTCCAGGACCCTGGTGAGAGGGCTACAAGGGGGGGAGGGAGATGGAGGGGGCTGGGCGTGTCCCAGGGAAGCTATCATCCAGCACTGTCCTTGGGCCTCCTGGGTCTTGCACAATTCCCACACTCCAACCCACCCTCCCCTACTTGCCCCACCTCTCACCCAGGATCCCAGTTGAAGATAAATGCTAAATCTCAGTCTCTAGAAAGGGGCTGCCTGTGGTGGGTGTGGCTCCAGGGGTAGTTGTGTTACTGTGCAAGAGGCTTAAGGTTCAGGAAGAGGCTGGTGGTGGGTGGAGTTCCAGGTTTCGGGGCTCAGGGTCCAGATTCCCGGAAGGGCTCAGGATGGAGGGAGGATGGAGTTGGAGGAAAAGAGTAGGTTGAAATCCAGGATGGGGGGAATCTGGGTTCTGGGGGATCAGCTGGAAATCTGGGACACCTGGGTGCTGGAGCCTGAGCCCGAGGCCACATTTGGGAGGGACCTCGGCAGGGGGACATGGAGCCAAGAATGGAGTGAAGGCCGCCCAAGGGTGGGCCCCGGCGGCCCGGGGAGGTCACGCACAGCGCTGGGAGTCGAAGCCATCCCCAGTGATGGTGAGCAGCTCCAGCTCCTTAATGCGGATCTCCAGTTCGCACAACTCCTCGGGGTGGGAGGCGGAGAGGAGCCGGGAGGGCGTGGGGCCAGGGGTCAGGGGCGAGGCAGCCACCTCGGGCCCTGGCGGCGGCGAGTAGAAGAAGCGCAGAGGCTCATAGGGGATGGAGGCCAGGCCAGAGGGCCAGGGCGGGGGGCAGGGCCGCTCGCTCGGGGGACCCAGGCCCGGGGGTGGCGGCAGGGGCATCGGGGCCGGGGGCGCCTGGGGCGCCTGGGGCAGGGACCGGCCCCCCGCCGGCCCGCCCGCCTTCAGCGGTACGAAGAGCTTCTTCCAGATATTGAAGTCGCTCAGCGGGGACGTGGAGACCCCGCGGTCGTAGAGGGACGGGAAATAGAGGGGCGGGGCCGGCCGCTGGCTCATCGTGGGGCTCTGGCGGCCGCGCCGCCCCTTCGGCATCTTTTGAATGGGAGGCTGCGTGGGAGGAACCCCGCGCCGGGAGACGCGCGCCTGCCTCGAGTGGCCGGGTTCTGACATTCCACAGGCCACGCCCCGATGGGCTCGGCCCCACCCCTTCGTGTTAGCCCCGCCCCCAACAAGCAGGGCTCTGAGATCCGGTTGGCCACGCCCCAGAATGTGGCCACGCCCATTGGCAGGTGGCAGGCCGCGCCCCTGGAGTGAGAAAGGCTCCCGCAGTGGGGCGCGAGTGTGAAGTCCCACAGGCGCGTCCTAATGCCAGGCCCAATCCCTTGGTTCCGCTCGACCACAGCACTCTTCGCCTCCAGCCCCAAGCCGGGCTCAGCCCCCCTACTCTCCCCACCGCCCCTAAATCCCACAAGCCTCGCTCCGGAGCTGTCACAGCCAAACATGACATCAAACAAAAGCGCCAAGTGGAGAGCTGGCCAGAACTGCAAGAGAAAACAGTCTTCAGTTTTCCTCTCCGTTTGTAGGAAGAGAAAAAAATTATGCCCCGCTTTTAGGCTGAGTCCTCTGTTTCTCAATTACCTTCGATTAAAATAATCCCTGTGCCAAAATGGCATATTTAGGGGTGGTATATTCTGATCCCTTTCAGTTCCCAGAACACTTTTGTTTTGTTTTAAATATTTTTTTTCTGATTTCAGGGAGGAAGGAAGACGGGGGGGAGACAGAGAGAGACATCAATGATGAGAATCACTGATCGACTGCTTTCCGCACAAGCCAGGCTATAACACTGTTTTTAAAAGCTCCCGAATATTTATTGAGTCCAATTATATGCTCAGCACTACAGGATCTTGGGCTGAACCAGCTAGTATGGGAAGAAAAAGCTGCTCGGTGTGAGACAAGCCCTTTACGTTTGGACAGTTTCTAAGTTTACAAGTGCTTCACACACACCTTTCTGTCTTCTGTCTGGTCATCACAAGCAACTGTAGGAGGCAGCCTGTTTCTCTTAAATGTCAAACAACTTGCCCAAAGACATCCAGCTTGGATATCCGACTCCCTTTGCTGCTACACACACAAACACACATGCACAGCTGATACTGACTCAGATCTTGACTGGCCAGGAGCCTAAACTGGTCCCTACCCATCTTTATTTCTTCAATTCAATGATCATTAGATCATTGTTAGGCCAAGGCTTTCATGGAAATTTGCCTCCCCTCAGTCTGACTAATCCTGGCTACTCATGTAAGAGATCTTGGTGCAAAGTACCACGGAAAGGGTGTGGGCTCTTCGGGATAGGTTCAGCAGGATTTCCTTTCAGTGGTTAGATTGTTGCCTGTTCGTTCCTGACGATGAATGTGTTTGGAAGAGAACTAAACTGCATCTCACTGGAAACACTCTCCCTTCAGATTTATTACCATCCATAGCAGGGTCCCTTTTCCAGAGTCTCCCACAGCACTGGGAAATTTGGCAGGAACATGGGTTGGCTCTAAGGGCCATTCTCAATCAACCCTCTTCTCCTTTGTCCGCCTCCCAATTGTTTGATCATTTGTTGCTTTGTTTTATATCCACATAGGAGTGACTTTTTCCATTTGACTTATTTCGCTTAGCGTGCTAGTCTCAAGATCCACCCATGTTATTGCAAATGACAGTATTTCATCTTTTCTAATAGCTTAGTAATATGCCATCGTTTATTAGATTTAGAATCACTTAGTTCCTCTCTCTGTGCTTGTGAAGTCCCCCTTCAAACCCCTTGTCTTTGTTTTCCTCTCGGGAAGATGGATTTGGGCTTTCAAAACCCTGTCTCCTTGTTTGGCTGCCTCTCAAAAATAAACTCTTTCCTTGTTGCATACTCACTGCTTTACTGATTGGCATTACTGTGTGTTGGGTATGTGAACTTGGGTTTGACTATACTTGCTCCCCTAGAAGTCTCACTTCCTCTCCATCACTTTAGCTCTGCATCTAGACAGAATGCCAAGGACCACACCTTAACCAGATTCTCTGCCTCTTTAAGGGGATGTCACAATTGGCCATGCCTGCCTTGGCTTGGGACAGCTTTTAGGAGCATGTAGAACTTGTGGCTTGGATACAGCAGAGTTGTTATGGAATGAGTATTTGTGTTGTTCCCCCTTCCCCGCCCCCATTCTTATGTTGAAAACCTAAGCCCCAGTGAGATGCTATTAGGAGGTGGGGGCCTTTGGGGAGTGATTAAGTCACGAGGACAAAGCCCTCACCCATGGATTAGTGCTCTTGGTAAAGAGACTGCAGGGAGCTCCCTTGCCACTTCCACCATGTGAGGGTGCAGTGAGAAGACCGCCATCCATGAACCAGGAAATGGGTTCTCACCAGGCACCAAATCTGCTGGAGCCTTGATCTTGGAGTTCCCAGCCACCAGACCCGTGAGAAATAAATGTTTCTTGCTTAAGCCGCCCAGTCTATGGGATTTTGGTCACAGCAGCCTGAACATACGAAGACAAAAGTCATGTTTGAATCCAGGACTCTCTGTGACTCTAGGAAAGTCATGTCAGCTCTTGGAATCTGTTTTCTGAGCCATAAAATGAAGGCAAGATCTACCACACAGAGTTAATGCAGGTGATGAAAACATGTATAAGAAAAACCTGGGACACATAGTAGGTGCTCCTGGGACACATAGTAGGTGACTATGATTATTAAACAGTCTTATGTGGATTCCTTAATTCACCATTAAGCCCTGTCTATACGTGACACGGCACCAGAGTTAAGTTAGGGTTTTTCAAAATGCTGACAAGCCGAGCTCAAAAGGTTCGCCATCACTGACCTAGAAGATGATTACCTGCTGCCCTGCGGAGGACAGTGACATCAAAAGCAGAGAGGCTATTGCGAGCAGGGCACTTGTCTTAACTCCTTTGCTCACTGCAACGAACCTAAGCAATAGCTGTTTTCCCCACTTTCTGAGACACGTGTAAGGTTGAGTAACTTGCCTGAGGCCCTGGGACTGGTTAGCAGCAGAACTGGAATTCCAAACACATGGGTTGGCCCCAGCTCCCAGCCTCTTGGCCATTCCTTCCTACAGCCTCCCACCAGTTCCCCTGGCTCTCAGGGCAGGGTCACTTTCACATTGGCTGGCTTTCTCTTGCTGGAAGAGGCCGGCTCTAACTGGAAGTTGTTTGTGTCACAATTCAAGGGTTTGGCTGTGTGAGGGACACCAACAGTCTTTATTCCTCATCTGAAGTCACCATTGTGTTGGGCAGGAGCTGAAGGCCCACACATTTCTACTTCCCTTCACAACACCCACCATTTCAAGAACCTTTCTAAAAAAATGCAGCCCCGCCCTTATTCTTATTTCCCTTGGCGGATGTTTTCCCAGGCACTCGCAGAGTAAGCACATTTTTTAATGAACTGAAGCTTGAGAGGCAGTAGTGGAATGGAGAGTGCAGGGGCTTGGAAGATGAGAGCGCTGAGTTTAGTCTCATCAACCAGCATCAACTAGCTGTGCAACCCTGGGTAAAACAATTGTAGCTAACACTCACGTCACCACTTACTGGCAGTACCCCTTAGAGGGTCAGTCTCTCAGAATTTTTCTGCTCACAGGCCACAGAGGTTGATACGGAGATTTCATACAGAGGGCAATGAGATAGTTTATGGAACTGAAAGCTTAAGAATTAGGTTTTGTAGGGTCAGTGGTTGAGCATCGACCTATGAACCAGGAGGTGACGGTTCCATTCAGGTCAGGGCACATGCCCAGTTGCAGGCCCAATCTTCAGTAAGGGGCTTGCAGGAGGCAGCTGATCAATGTCTCTCATCATTAATGTTTCTATCTCTCCCTCTTCCTTCCTCTCTGAAATCAATAAAAAAATATTTTTTTTTTAAAGAATTCGGTTTTGAGGGTTCAGAGACCAGGGCAACTTTAGGAATCCAGGTAGCAGGAGGGAACCAATGGCCTCTTCAGTTGGCTGGCTGTTCTCAATGACTGTTTTCAACCCTATTCCCGACAGCCTTCCCTATAGAAGCTGGAAAAACAAAATAGCTTTGCCAGTCTCCCTTTCATCTGGGGGTGGCCATGAGGCATTTCCAGCCAGAAGACATGACCAGAAAATAGCTGGCAGCTTTCCGGGAAACTGAGGCTTCCCCTTCATCTCCTCTTCCTGCCTTGGACCTGGCAGTCCGAGGTCACTCTGTGACCATGAGGGAAAGACCCAGAATATGCCATGCACCCACAGAGATGGTGTTGAGCAGCTGAACCAATGCCAGGAGCTGCCCACCTTCTTATGCAAGAGAATCCGACTCCTATTAAGCTACGCTAATTAAATGGTGTTCATTGTAGCCTTCCTGGGAGACTCACGGGCTTTCAACCAAAAAGTATTTTTCAGTCCTTGCCTAACTCCACTCAAGACTTCAATTTGCAGGAAGAGACCCTGCCCAGCTTTCTGGCTGGAGGAGGCTGGGACCCCCTTCCATGAAAAGGGCCCCCCAAGACTGCACTTTCCAGGTGGAAGCGAACTCCCCCAGCAGCTGATTTGCGGTTCTATTATCAGCAAAGAAGAAGAAGAAAAGAAAGAAAGAAAGAAAGAAAGAAAGAAAGAAAGCCAATGACATGATGGCAGCCCCATTGTTACAACTGATGATGACACAGGGGGTCGGAATGGGGAGGTAGCATGCCCAAGGCCTCAGAGCCAGTCAGTGAGAGGAGGCGTGAAAAGGGGCCCTTTACCACCGTGCTGCAAATGGATTGTATTTAAGTAAACGTCTATTGCAGAGAGATCTTGTTGTAAACCTAAATTTTAAAAAATCTCAAAGCTGCTTTACTCATAATGTATATATGTTATTTCCATTCCAATCATTAGTGTGTTTCCAACTTCTTCCAGAGCTCAGGGGAAAGGGTGGCTTAGTTAGCAATTGTCAGTTAACTCTTCTAGCAGTTATCTTGGTCAGCGATGTTTACTTACAAAGAACAGAAACTTTCTCAAACCAGTTCAAGCAACACAGGTCTGAGGGAGCTCTGAATGACATGGACTTTACTCACTCCATGGGCAGCTGCCCAGGCACACAGTGCCAGTCATTGA